AAACTAGTTTGTATTATCGGATGGAACCTTCTCGTACATTAGCGACAGGCCCAGTTTCAGGAACGAAAAAAGCAAAAGATAGAGTTACAGTTTTATTGACTGCTAATGCAACAGGATCGGAAAGATTAAAACCATTGTTCATCCATAAATATAAAAATCCACATGCGATTCGAAATATTGATAAAAAAAAATTGCCTGTTGAGTATTACTGGAACAAGACTGCTTGGATGCAAAGATCCATTTGGAACCACTATATAAATGACTTGAATTCAATGATGCGTCGTCAAAATCGCCACATACTACTTTTAATTGATAATGCCCCAACCCATATTCTTGATGATAACACAATGTTAACTAATATAAAAATAGAACATTTACCTCCAAATACTACGGCCCATCTTCAACCGATGGATGCCGGAATTATTAATTTCTTTAAAGTTAGTATACAGTATTACATAATTATAATTACTAAACAGTATATTAATATGTTTATTTTTTTTTTATTTTTTTAGGCTAAATACAGACGCTTTCTCATTCGAAACCGGTTGGACGCATATGAATTTGCATATAACAGTCAAACTGAAGTAAACCCAGTTAATATAAAGGAAGCAATCGACTATTGTGCGTTAGCATGGAATGAAGTGTCATGTGAAACAATTAAAAACTGTTGGCGTAAAGCAGGAATCCTTCCAGCTGACGATAATAACTCACCTCAACAAGATATTTCACCATACAATGAATATCCAGCTTATGAACATCTAGATGATGAAATTGAAGTTCATAATCTTATTGAACAACTTCCAATTAATGTTAATGATCTTTTATCTGCCTCAGAATATATAAAGATTGATGATAACCTATCTACAACCGAAATACCTTCAAACCAAGAAATTTTAACCATTCTTCAAGAAGACGAAGATGAAGATGCAAGTGAACCCGCAATTCAAATTCCACTTAAAACAGTATTGGAAAGTTTAGAGAACGTAAGATTGTTATTGTTGAATCCACCAGAAACCTTACGTATTGAAAATGAGGATTCAAAGGTTATCAATTCACTTAAAAAACGCATTTCAAACTTGATTACTCAACAAAAGAAGCAATCAAATCTAGAAAAATTTTTTAGCAATAATTAGTACAGTAATCGGTTATATTTGTTCTAGAGAATGGTTAAAAGGTGTAGGATAAATGAAATGTATTAATTCATGGAAAATAAGTTGCTATAATTGAAGGTTATGAATACTGTATCCTGTAAACTAAAAATTCGCTTTACTGTAGATTTCAAATTTATGGTATCGGCTTTTATTAGGTAAGATTATTCAGAATTATTCACAAATATTTTTGATCGAATTATTAATAATATAAATTACTTACACCTACTTCAGAAATACAGTACTTAAACGGCTTTGATTTTTTTTTTTTAAAAAAAAAACATTAAGAATTCTGTACTCAAATTCATATTATTTTATACTACTGTACTGCATCTTAACAATTATTAATTAATTGATTCTAAGTAACGACGTAGGAAATTCATTGGTTAGTGCAGACACAGACAAATCAACTGACACTCTTGTTAATTATGGTAATCAGATTATTCGATCACATTCAATTTTTAGCTTTTTACTTATACGTGAATTAAGTAACAATGGTGAGTGTCTTCGCTTT